CATCAGCACAAGAAGAAGGAGCACAGTTCAATAAGGTGTTTTGAGAAAGACCACATTCACATAACTTTTATCACAGTATATTAGAATTGCTCTATTTTATTATTAGTCATTGTTGTTCATCTCTCACTGTGCCTAATTTATAAATGAAACTTTATCATAGGTATCTGTGTGTGGGGAGAAACAGTCTATATGGAGTTTGGTACTATCTGTGTGGGGGTCTTGGAATGTATCCCCTGCGGATAAAGAAGAACTAATGGAACCTGGCAAAGTCCTTGGCCCTCTGGAGGCACAAATAGCTAGGTGTTTAATGGGATCAAAAGAAAGAATGAAGGAAGGAAGCAGGGCAGTGTGGCTTAGCAGTTTGAATATTGGCATTGATTTCCAGCCATTCAATGCTGTGTTTCTCCTCCGGGCCAGGCCCTAGACACAGGCTTACTGGAGCTGACCCTACACGGGCTCAGGAGAGCTGCTTGTTGGTTTTTCAGAAATTTTTCCAGTTGGTTGTCAAACAGCCACTAAACAAGCTTAAATGATATAAAGCTACAATTATGTGTATATATATATTTTTTATTATGTTCAGTTAGCCACTGTACAATTATATTTTTAAAAGGTACCAGAACTCATCACTTCCTAATTATTCTATTTCTATTAGTATCTCTGTTCTGAAGGTGATGCCTATTGCAGGGGTCTCCAAATGTGTAAAAGGGCCAGATGGTATTTTATGCTTTGCCAGCCACAAGGGGAATCTGGCCCCTCAGCCACTGTTTGCGGTGTGATCCTGGCACGCGGTATCTGCAGGCAGACATACCCTACAATGGGCTGCATCTTTTCCCAACTTCTGTTCAGTGATGCGCTTCGGGAGCCTGAAAACTGCCATGGGGGGAGTATTTCCACCGGAGAAGCCAAATGCTCTTTCAGTCAGCTGACAGTTAAACATTTACCAGTAAACCACTGGGCACAGTGATGGGCAAAACTGGAATGAACCCTGCCCTCTTGGAGGGTAGAGGGTGTTGGGTTCGTGCACCGTTTCATGCTGGAGTGGGGCAAGAAGGGGGCTGGGCAGAGGCTGGTGGGGATCTCCACTGGGAAGCATGCCAAGGAGGAGACCACCCAGATTCAGGCATGTCCCCCAGAGGGGGCAGGAGTGCTGGAAGAGGGTGGTGTGGGGGACCTCTACCGGGGCCGGCCATCAGTCCCACGTTCTCCTCCCCCAGCAGGGACTTTGCCACTTCATGGCATTCCTTTGAGGGCAGCCAGCTCTGTCCTTGCCCTCTCAGCTCAGGGGGAGACTTCAGGCACTGGGAGCGGAGATGAGAGTGCACGGTAGTCCACTGCCGTTCACTACAACCCCAGCTCCTAGCACTGTGTTTTGCCACAGTGAGTGGGCTCTCCACCCGTGTGGCCCAGGAGGGGCCTGGCTTGTCCTTTGGAGGGTCTGGATCCAGTGACACCAAGGACAACTTGTGATCCATCCGTGGAAACTCGACCAGCTTGCATCTCCTATGGAGGTTGGGGACTTGCAGGGAAGGGCTTCGGATGGAATCTGGCAGCTAGACTCCTTGATTTTTAGGTCAGGAACTTGGGACAGTGGGAGGCAAGGGTCTCTGCATATCACCCACAGAGTACTGACGCTGCCCGATGCACGGACCGAGTCCTGTTGCCTGCACATGCCCAAGCCCCAGGAAATAGGTGAGTGTGACTATCAACTGGTCAGTCACTGCCCATTTGTTGAGGTCTGACTATGTGCAGGCACTGAGCTAGCTCTTCCGTCGGCCAGGAACCGCTGGATTCTGCCTTCATGGATCTCTTCTTGAAGCATCGTGGGGGCTCCGTGTCACTGACTTCAAACGAAAACCAAGAAATAGTATTTAAGGATGACCTCAGTTGATTTCAACACTTTTCCCCTGAGCACCTGTGCAGGAAAAAATTGCAAAGATGGAGTGGGGACAACGTGGAATTTCAGGTCAAACGGAATTACGGGTTCACATCTTGGCTGGATTCCCACAGTTGTCTGACCATTTCTGAGTCTTCACTTCCTCACTTTAAGATAAGGATGATAGTGATTCTTGCCTTCTAGGCTCCTTGGGAGGAAGGAAGAAGAAGGAACATGAAAGCCCCACGTAGTACCTGGCACTTTGAATGCTGCTCATTTTTAATCCTAACTTTCCTATGTAACGTTCACCAGTCACCCACAGTACCAAGCAGCGCTGAGGATGTGTGGAAGGGCCCTGGAAGAAATCAGGGATTCTCTGCACCCTCGTAAATCTCACTCTGCTCGAGTTTGCCTCTTGAATGGGGAGAGGAGGGTCCACAGATGTCCCGAAGGTGGACAGCAGCTGCTCTGGCTGTCCTCCTCCACGACTCCATGCTGGCCCCCATCATCTCCCTCCTGGGTCCTCTCCGCAGCCTCCTCACTGACTTCCCTGTCTCCAGGCTGCCCCTCTGCAAACCTTGTCCATGTCATGCTGTGACAAGTGACCTTATGAAGGTGATATCTACAAGCCACTCCCACACGTGGTCCATGTGGCGGCTTTCTGCATCTCTCACAGGGAGGTCTGGTCCCTGCCCCTGCATTTCAGGGCACTACCTGCCCAGCCCCTTCTCACCTCTTAGGTCTCTGCCCTGTAACCCCAGGGCACTTTGTAAGTCTTAGCAAATGCATGCAGCTTCCTGGACAGGCTGACTATCTCCCATGTCTCTACCTTTGCATGTGCCATTTCCCTTCCAGGAGCACCTCTGCCCTTTACCTGACTCCTGAAGGCCTCCTGGAGTCAGGATGCGTACCCCAGTGCCACAGTATAGATTAGGGTCCTCTTGCCATTCCTATAGCCCAAGCACAGCATGGTCATTGCCTTTACATTGCTTTAGGGTCCTAGACTCTGAGCCTGATGAGCCTAGTGAGCCTGGCAAGTTACTCAGCCTCTCTGTACCCTTGTCTGCCAGAGGGAATGGTGATGGCACGTATATGATGGCGGCTGTGAGAAGGAACAGGTGTATGCACGCACAGCACTTAGCATACAGGAAGAGCTCCATAGCGGTTGGAACAGCTGGCCTAATCCCACCCCTTGATGGCCTGCGGGTTTTGGTCGCAACTATGCTCTGAATCCACATCTATACCATGAGGTGGGGGCATGGGCTGGACCCTTTCTTGTTTGATGATTGTCTCAAGGCTATAAACTTCAGAATTCCAAGAAGAGAATTTGCCAGCAAATTGTGGAGAGTTGACCAATTCCCCATTTTCTCAACTGCCTTCCTCCCAGGGCCAGGAGGAGGAAACAGCTCTGCCCATCTCCTGACACGGGGCACATGCTGGGCCCTGTGCGACCTTCTCACCCCCCATTCCTGGCCCTGGCCAGGCTCAGGGATAGGATCCTTAAGGAGCCCCTCCATCTTGCCTGTTCTTGGGAGAGAGTGGGGAGGGGATAATCCCCAGCACAGGGATGCTGTGGGCAAGGTGCCAGCATTCACCATGCAATTCAACACACACTCACACACTCATGTCATCACTACAGAGGCACCTTCCCTTAACAAAAAAGGCAAAAATCTGGGGGTTTAAATGGTATTAAGGGCAGAAGCATGTGGCTGTGAGAACGCCCCGTGGAGGTGCCAAAGCGTTCCCTGGGTGGCTTTAGGTGTCGCTCCTGATGGCAGAAAGAAGACGTTTTTGTTCCAGAGTTGGAGTTTCGAGGTGACACTGTGGCTCGTTACACAAGGGTGTTTCCAGTATGATCCTCTCCCAGTCTTGTGCTGGGCCTGCCCATGCAGGGATGAATGGGCTGGTCTGAGGGGAGAGGCAAAGCAGCTGGCAGGGCTGGGGCTCAGGCACAAGGGGAGGGGCCCAGGAACTTTGGGGAGGAACTTTGTTGTCTAGGTTCCTAGAGGGGTCAGACTCGAGGGGCACCAGGAGGGGGGCCGGGGAGTCTGTCCCCTCCCTCGGAACGCTTGAGGACCACACGGGCCGAGGCCCGCAGACATCTGTGAAAGGCCGGGGGGCTCTCAGAGCCCGGCAGGCTGAGACAGGGCAGTGTGAGCTCATCACCGGGAGAGCTGAGAGGACATTTTTAATTCGAGGAACCATCCCTGTCCTATGGCCCCACCTAGCCAGCCGGGTGGGCAGCCTGAGCTGTGCAGGGGTTGTCACAGGTGAAGCGATCCAGCCTCCCGCCCCCGCCCCTCCAGCCCGACCCGGCCACCCGCCCCTCCCCAACTCCGGACCCTGGGTTTGCACCTGGGTGCACGTCGGCCGCCCGAGTCCGCACGTCCCAGGGCGCTGACCGTTCCGATCCCGGCTGGCTGGGGCGGGGGCCGGCGGTCCGCAGCGCTCCGCACCGGCCGGAGCACCGGCCTGGGCACCCGCCTGGGCACCGGCGGGGGCGCGGCTCGGCGTGACGTCACGCGCCCCGCCCCCGCGGCCCCCGCCCACCCCCACGTTCCGGGCGGGGCCGGCCCGGGGCCTGCCGGGGCTCGCCCGCCGCGGCCCCCTCCCCAGGGGCCGCCCCCTCCCGTCGGGCCGCGCCTCTACCCCTCGCGTCCCCGCCCGGCGGCCGACTCCGCCTGCGAGAGGCCGAAGCCGCGGCGGCCGCCGCCGTTGCCGCCATTGACGTCAGAGGGGCGGGCACATGACCCCGCGGGGACCAATCGCGCGGGCGCGGAGCGGCTTCTGCAATCTCTCAACCGAGCCGGCCCCCGCGGCCCCCGCCGCACACTCGCCCGCGGACGGCCGCCCAGACACACGTACTGTACACACGAGCGGGCGGCGGGGCCGAGACACGCCCGCCCGCCCGCCCGCCCGCGCGGCCCCGGCCCCCGCCGCTGCCCCGCGTCCGCGCCCGCCGCTCCGGCCGCCGCCAGCATGCAGCCGAAGAGCTAGGAGGAAGCGCAGCCGCGAGGAAGCGCCGAGCGCCGGCCGCCCGCCGCCCGGCCGCCCGCCCGCCCGCCGGCCCCTCCCCTGCCGGGCGCCCCCCCAGCCCCACGCCCCCCCACCTTCCTGGGCGGTGGGGGGGGGTGCGGGCCGCCGCTCGGGGGCCCCGCCGCCCCGGCAGCCCGGGACAGCCCCCTTTCCCCGCCCCCGGCCCCCGCCCCGGCCCGGCCGGCCATGGATCTGACCAGCAGCTCGGGCGGCGGCGGCGACCCCCGGCAGATCGAGGAGACCAAGCCGCTGCTGGGGGGCGACGTGCCGGCCCCCGAGGGCACGAAGATGGGCGCCGTGCCCTGCCGCCGGGCCCTTCTGCTGTGCAACGGGATGAGGTACAAACTGCTGCAGGAGGGCGACATCCAGGTCTGTGTCATCCGGCACCCGCGGACCTTTCTCAGCAAGATCCTCACCTCGAAATTCCTGAGGCGCTGGGAGCCGCACCACCTAACGCTGGCCGACAACAGCCTGGCGTCCGCCACGGTGAGTCGCTCTGCGCGGCGGCGGCGCGCCGGCACCCCCGCGCCTCGCCTCGGGGCCGGGAGGCGCCCCCTCTCGCCGCCGCCCCCTGCCCGCCGCTGCACCTGGAGCCCGGGGCCTGCGGGGCGCCGGGGGTGCCGGGTCGGCCCGGGGGCCCAGGCGGGGGCTGGCGGGGGGACCCCGGCGCCCCCCCTCCTGGCCTGCCCTCGGGGCTGGCTTATGCCCAGCGGGCGGGCTCGGGGAGACCCTCGGAATTCTGCACCGGATCCGGCCCACCCCAGCCTGGGCATCTGCGGACCTCCCGGACCCAGCGCTAGCTAGTGTTTTTACGGATGGGACCGGGGGGGTAGACCCGGGGTGGGCCCCGAGGGTGGTGGGGGTTCCCTTTCTGAAAGCCCGCGGCCCATCTGGATCTGCGCTGGAGGGGAAACGAAACGAGCCCCCCCCCATAAAGAAAGAAAACCTAACAACCTCGAAACCCCAAAACCCAAAGAATTTCCAGAAGCCAGTTCTTTCTGTGCTTCACTGTCTTTTTCCTGCTCAGGCTGGTAGGCAAAACTGGGTGCTTCCCTTTCTGAAAAATCTCATTCGCACGCTGGGATGTTGGAAGAGGAGGGGGAGGGGCCAGGGGTCCCGGACTGTTTCCTCCCCACCTAGGGGTGGTCAGATTCTGGAGTGGAAGCTGGCTTTGGGGCCCTGGTCTGGCATTGTCTGTGAAGTGTGTGTCTACGTGTGTTCTGCGGTTGGTTATATTTTGTTACTGTTATTGTTTCAAATGTATGGCTGGGACTGGGTCAGCTGGATGAGAGGGAGAGGAGAAGTCATTGATGTGTTTCTGAAATCAAATCTGCAAGGTGGGGAAAGACAGCTGTGGTGGGGTCGTAGGGCATGGGGCTGGCTGGCAGGAGGCTGAGCGGGATGCTTTGTGTTTTGAAACAAGGACAGTTTAAAGCACCAGCTCTGCTTGGGCCTGAGCCTTGCTGAGGGGATCCCGTCCTCTCTGTGGAGAGGTGGCAGGTCTTCCCCAGAATGCACACTCCCCCTGGGGTGGCCGTGATCGTGATCGTGTTTACTAAGCACGGTTGTTGGGGCCGGGGGAGGTGGGGGGTGGAGGTGGCAGAATCCAGTACCTGCCCACGCCTGTGCCAAGAAAACCCAGCCAGGAAACAGGGTGTCGCTTCCATGGCATGTCACAAACATGTGGCGTGTGTAGACATTTCCCCGGCATCCATGTTCCCTTGGCAGTGTGTCACAGGCCGTGACACATGCTCCAAGGAATGGGGAGGGGGGGAAAAGTTAGCAGAAGCAGCCCTACTCCTCAAAACCACTCCTCCCGCCCCAGACCACTGAAACACACGAGGACTCTTATTCTGAATTTCGGGTCCGACGTGCTCAGAACACCTATTTTTTTTTCTTTCCTGTGGGCAGGTTGGTGCAGTATCTGCAAAGACTTCTTCCTCAGGGAGGATCGCTGGTTGCCGTGAGGCGGTCCGGTCCCGGGTTCAGGCTCATGCATGTTCTTAAACCCGTCCAAAGCCACAGGCCTGGGCATTTGTTTGGCTTTTCATTCCGTGGAGAGAGAACCTCAGAGAATTCACCAGCACGCAGTGTTTCAGGTTCAGGCAGGAACCAGTGCCCTTAATAGTTCCCTGCCTGGGATCAGGAGCCCCCCAACCCGGCTTCCGAATTTCCCCCTGCTTCCGGGGAGTGTTTTTGTTTTCCTCCCACCCCTCAAAATGAAGGGGAGTTGGGAGGGGAGAGGAAGTGGTTGAGAGGCACAGTGGCCCTCCATGGGAGAAGCCTGGAATGCGTGCTCTGGGGCTGCTGGCCATGGTCTGGGGGGGAAGCCAGCTTTGGAGGCTCCAGGCCCCCTTCCCTCCAGTGACTGATTGCTCAAGAGGTATCTAGGAGAGGAAAGAAGCAAAGACTGAGGCTGGGCACTGGTTTCTCCAGCAGCCAGAGGCCCCAGCACCACCTTCACCAGCCGAGATGGGTGGCACCTTCGTAGCTTGGCCCTCTCTGGTGAGGAGCTGTGATTTTCAGGACCGGGGGTGAAGGCCATCCGTAGAACAAGATTTGTCTCAGTAGAACCCTGCTGCGGCGGGGTCGGAAATGTGGAAGTAGGAACTATGAGCAAGTGTCCGATGGACTGGCCAGTCCCCCCTTCCTCCGCCTGTGGCCACTGGGCCCTGTGGGCAGGGGGTGGCCTTGAATTTTGCCCTGGTGGGCTCCAGTGGGGTGCGGGGCTCTCTGTGCCAGGGCCTGTGAGTGTGGAGGGGGCTGCTGAGGGCACTCCTGGCTGTGGCAGTGGCCTCCAGGGCAGAGGTGGGACTGGAACTGTACCAGGGGCCTTGTCCCATCATGAGATACCTGGTTGGTGTCCAGGCCCTGGGGAAGCAAAGGAACCCCTGAGGGGTTTCCCTGAGGGCTGGGCATTATGTAATCTGTCTGCATTTTATAGTGTGGCCCAAGGACGCTATTGAGAAATATTAACCCCAAATGAAACAAAGGTGAATTTCAGTGTAGTTCACTACCGCAAAAGCCCTGTGCAGCCCCGTGGCTTTGCAGAGTCCCCCGGCCCAGCCTCAAGGTATGATCAGGTATGTTTCCGGAGCAGGTCAGATCCTTTCATGAAATGTCCATCATCCGTGTATCAAGCCATCGGCACAGCCCAACTCAGAACCGTCTGGTAATTATCTGGTTAATTGCGTGGGCTTCAGGAACAAGACTCAGAGTGATTGATCTGGATTCAAACCGATAAACAAACCAAATACGCTCCTGCCCAAACCATCTTTGGAGTCTGTCTACACTGATCCAATTAACTGGATTGTTGTCAGAGATAAAGGCTTCCAGGACCACAGCTGCATTGGGCTAGGGTGGACACATATGGAGGCTCCCAGCACCCCCCCCCCCCCCCCCCCCCGCCAGTAGGCTGCTCTGGCTGGGCCCACCCTGCAGGTGGACCTCAGTTGTTTCCCCGCTGGGGAGATGGGCTTAGCCTGAGGCCCTGGGGGCTGGCGGCCTCGCCTCCTGGCCTGGCCATAAACTTTGCCTTCTGTGGGGTCGGGTTGGAGCTTGCCCCGGTGCCAGTCTCCTGGGCCAGTTACTGATTAAATCCTCACAGAGCCTGCCGTGTGCCGGACATGGCCTGTGACAGCGCTGGGCCCAAGGCACTCTGTGCTGGAGACTTTGGATCCCCAGTGCTCATAAACAAAGAAGGAAACACAAAGGCGACAGTGACCTGGCTGACGTGTGAGGGGTGATTGGGATGAGTCCGCCCCCTCCCTGGCGTACACAGGACCGCACTTGCGGTCCTGCCCAGACTGTGGCCTAGACGTGGTGCCTCATTCCCCTTTTGCATCCAGACTTGTCGTTCCCCTGGCCCCCTTGGGCTTTTCGTGGCTGCCAACGGTAGTGTGGGTTGGAGCCAAGGGCCAGGAGTTCTGCAGAAGCAGCCGGGTCCATACGACCAGAATCCATTTTGCTGTTCTCATGTGTGGGTTGAATTTGATCACCTGCTAGACATGTTTGTCCGCTGGAAGAGGGCTTTTGTCTGTGTGCTTTGTTTCTCTGCGTCGAAGAAGCACAAATAAGCTGCCTACCTTTTCTTTCACCTTATTTTATCACATGCAGCACATGGCGTCTCAGGATGGTGTGTCTGATCCGATTCCTCGACCAAACAGCACAGGGGTGGGAGCACAGGTGGCCGTGGCCTTCTTTATTTTCAAGCCTGAATTCCTCAGTGACTTGCTTTTAAATTTTCTCCACTCTGCTCCTCCGATGGCAATGTTTCTTCTGGGCTTTTTATCATGGTAAAGAAAAGAGAAGTCCCCTTAATCCTTGTCGGTCTCTTTAATTAGGAGTTCTCTTGGGCGGGGTGCGGGGGCAGCAATCTTCTGAACTTGGATTTTGTTAACTCAGCACCTGCTGGGTGTCCAGTGCCGAGTGGGGAGCTCAGCCCCACGGCGTGGTTTCCGCCTGAGAATGAAAGCCTGTGTCCTCCGGGGTAGTCACGGACCCCACGGGGATGTGTCTGCATGTGTGTGTGCACGCGTGTTTGTTTTTTTCCACTTTGTCACTTACCCAGCTCCTGTCTGTCCATCCTTCCCGCCTTTCGTTTATTGGATGTTTTCTGCGGCAGCGAGTAAACACAAATAATTTTTTTTTCCTTCAGTACCATTTGTCATTAAGATTTTGGGTCTATCAAGATTGTTTCCAGGGTAACATGCCTGATTGGAGGGGTGGTAGGGCAGGGGCCAGAGACAGAAGAGGAGAAAAGAATCTAAATTCTCCATAAACAGCAAATGTGTTCTTCCCCTCCCAGGTTGTAATAAATAAATGCACTTCAAGGAGGGTGTAAGTTTGATGCTGCCATTTGCCTAGTACAGTCGAGGTGCTCTTTCTGACTGCAGGCAGAATCGTGCCAGTCCAGGTGGTGGCATGTGGCATGCGTCTGGGCTTTGCTGCCAGACTGGCGATGGAGACAGGCATGTGCTACTGGCTTGGGCTCCATGGCCCACAAGTGGCTTCTGCTTGGCGCCTCTTGCTCCTGCACCTGCCGACTCGCCTGACACCGAGAGCGGGCGTTTCTGGGGTACTGTGTCTGGTGAGGCTTAGGGGTGTCCTGGCAGCCGTGTTGTCCTGAGAACAGAAGCTGTCTCAGGGTTCCTTACTGCCAGCCTTAGGTAATCAGAGTGGCCTCCCTCTTCTCCGGGCCAGCCGGGCTGGGCCCACGTGGAGGGCACCCTCTTGGTGTTTTGGTGGAATAGACATTTGAGGTGGTTGAATTATGCCTTCGATTAAAGGATTAAGTGAGATTAAGTGAGGGAATGTGATACAGTTTAGGGCGTCCCCACCATGGGGCAGAGCTGGCCTGGGCTTTGCTATCACATGGTACTGGGTCTGAATTCTAAGGTTATGATTTCCCTGGTTGTGTGACTCTTAGCACATGGCTTTCCCTTGGTGGGCCTTGCTTTTTTTTTTCCATCTGGAGGGTGGCATAA